GTATAAATTATAGTAGACTAAATGTCACTCGTACGATGTATCAAGTTTTATGAATTTTACAATATTTTCCGAATTCCGATTTTTTTTTTAGGGAAATCCAATAAACAGTACCATGTAATTAACAATTATAATTACAAAACGTGCGCTAAATTCCTAAAAACAGAATATTGAAAACAGCACCATTATAATAACAACATAATGTGAAATTTATGCTATTCATTCTGAAATTTGCTCATTCATAGATTTTGTGATTAGTTATATTTCTTCGTAGGAAACAAATTGCACGGCTGTCCATCGATTTTCTCATTTAGAATTGGCCACAAGTTTTCAATCGGGTTAAGTTTGAATGAACTATCAGACTTCATCAAACTAAAGTGCTTACGGTTAAATCATGCTGAAAACACCGGTTCTCATTCATCAAATTAGGGTCACTGAAACCCATTTTATCCAAACATTAATTACTCTTCACAATGTCATGACGCACTGTGATGCTTAAAAACCATCGTCTTTCTGAAAAAGTCTATTTTCTTTTCGAATCATGGTTCCTCAAAATATACTTATTAAACTGAAACTTCATTTCATGAAAATGGCTGATTATTTATTTACATCAGTGCAGAACAAACCTGCTTTCATACGAACTGCGCATATATATTGCCATCTTTTAGTAAAACGATAAATAATATTAGTAATAATAATAATAATTACATTCATCATGGAAATGCTAAAACATAAAATGCAGCTAAAGAAATAAAGAGCATGATGATACGAAAAACGTTGTAGGTTCTATCGCCAAAATAAAATATTCCAAACGGACCTTAAGAAATTTTACAGGGAAATTAGAAAAGCAATTATACATGTCAAAAGGCCACCATATATTGGCAAAGTGCGGAAATTTTGCGAGAATACTTTGATGGATCCAATGTGAAGAAGAACGAATGCTGAATAAACCTCTACAAGAGTGGGAAAATATAACTACAAATAATATTAGGCAAGCTCTAACGAAATCCAAAACAATGGAAATCCCCCGGGAATGACAAGGTGCCCAATTTCTGGCTCTATCATCTCTCATCAATCCATAACACCCTTGCACAAATTTTATCAATGCTTATTAATAATCCCAATGAAATCCCGAAATGGATCACTGAAGGTATTACATATGCCAAAACCAAGTGAAACAGATGACCCGAAAAATTATAGGCTAATAACATGTATGTCCACCACGTATAAATTGATCACTCCTGCCCTGACGAACCGTACTTATCCTTTTCTCTAAGCAAACAACAGTCTTCCACTGGAACAGAAGGGACGTTGGAGAGGTTCATATGGTTGCAAAGATCAACTACTGATAAACAAAATGATCCTGGAAATTGCAGGAGACGGTGTAGAAATCCTAGCAAAGCATGGATAGATTACCGTAAAGCCTTTGATAGTGTGCCACACTTTTGGATTCTTAAGACTTTGGCAATATACAAAGTCTCCCCCATGATAGTAAATTTCTTTAAACACAGCATGGGAATGTGGAAAACCACATTACATCTAAATCACACTAGGGGCACTGCCATCTCCAACCGACTGAATATCCGAATATCTGAATCATTCAAGGACCCTCCCTGTCACACTTCTGTTGCGTTATGTCTTTAATTCCCCTTACGCTGTGAACTAAACAATAATAGCTATAGTTACAAACAAGGAAGTACTCAATCACCTACTCTACATGGATGATCTCAAACTCTTTGCCAAAAACAACAATGAGTTAAAAGGGTCTCCTCAATACTATAAAATGTATGTATTTCGTATTAGGTAAATGTGCACAAGTAACATTCAAGAAAGGGATAATTACAGAAATATACTCAATCAATTTAGATTTTGTCACAAAGATTAGGGAACTAGAAAAAGAAGAAGCCTATAGGTATCTAGGAATTGGCGAAGGAGATGGAATACAGCATACCCAAATGAAGGAGAAGGTAAGAAAAGAGTACTACAGGAGTGTGCGCCTGGTACTGAATACCAAACTGAATTCAGAAAACATATTATCAGCAATAAACACCTTGGCTATCCCTATGGTGCAATACAGTTTCAACATTCTTAACTTAACTATAGCTGACATTTTGCGAATAGACAGCAAAACGAGAAAGCTTCTCACCTGACAAAGCATTCATTATCCCAAGACTGATGTTGATCGTCTGTATGTGCCCAGAACCGGAAGAGGCAGACTATTAGTTCAACTAGAACTGTCTTACAAAGCTACAATTGTCCTTCAATGATACCTGCAAATTACAGGAAACTAGATGATAATCTGCTTCAAAGAACATGAAAGTATTAAGCGACTGTATTCAGTAATAAAAGAAGCCAACAAATTCAAAATGTATTTTCAAGTGGGTGAAGAAAGACAAGTAAAGCATAATACACCGACTGAATCTGCAAAGTACTTAAAAAAAACAAAGGCAAATACAAACGACCAGGTAAGAAACGATGGCAAGATAAACCTCTTCACTGTCAATACTCTGTCCGTACCAAACAAGTTTATGTAGACAAACCCCATACATATCAGTGGTTACGTAGTGCAGGGTTAAAAGCTGAAACTGAAGGTTTTATTCTTGCTGCACTGGACCAATGCTTGCTAACTAGAAATTACCAAGCACACGTACTGAAAAATTGTGTTAGTCCAAAGATTCAGTGATACATATTCAGAAACAATTGACCATCTTGTATCAGGTTACGCGGTATTAGCACCCACTGAATATAAAACACGGAACGACAGAGTGGGCAAATATCTGCAACGGAAAATCTGAAACGTTTACGGAAAGGAAACTGAAAGAAATTGGTATGAACACCACCCAGACCCGGTTACAGAGATAGGACCTGTAACAATTTTATGGGACTTTACAATACACACAGTCAGAACAATCAAAGCTAATCGTCCTGACATCGTCAAAAGAGACAGCAAAGACAGAATGTGCCTCCTTATTGATATGGCAGTCCCTGCAGGCTGCAATGTATCTTTGAAGACCTTCAAAAAACTATCGAAATGCAAGGACCTTGAAATTGAAATCAAAAATTGTGGTACATGAGGACATTAACAATTCCACTTGTAATTGGAGCCCTCAGATTGATTGGAAAAGATTACAATAGACTCATTGAAGGAATCCCTGGTAGCCCATGCTTTAAAGAAATGCAAAAAAAATGTACTCACAAGTACAGGCCATACCTTACGAAGGGCTTTATCTATGTAAAATATGTGCGACCTTTTTTCAAAACTGCTCAGTGGAAAATGTCATGATGTTATTTCTCGCCTTAGGTCTCTGATATATATATATATATATATATATATATATATATATATATATATATATAATAAAGAAGAAACACGCATAGAAAACACATTCAAAAGTCTCAATATCCTTATCACTTCATCCACAACGCAAAGAGAAAGGCACAAAAATATACGACAGCAACAAAAATAACATTATGCACATTAATAAGTTAAATAAACCAGATATATTACACTACCTGCCAACTCCATAATATCCACTATCCAAAACAACTTATCACATCTAGACAACATACAAAGAGTCATAACCATTGCCAAAACCATTATGGATATAATCCGAACTAAAAACACCACAACAATAATAATTCAGAAGCAGGCGTGTATAAAATAAATTGCCAAAACTGTTCCTCACAATACATTGGGGAAACATGCAGAAGTTTAAAAAAATCGTATCTATGAACACAAAAGGGTCCTCATAAATAACTATTTAACAATTGCACTAGTCATACACAGAAATAATTTCGATCACAATTTTGATCTAAAATGTAGCACACTCATCAAAAGTAATTTACATTTCCTGAAAGAATTACTACTTTCCCATGCCAACATACACAACAAATATGTTGAAAAATCAAAAGAAAACGGTTAAGTCCATCACTTCAGCCTTTGAAGATGTACTGCAGAAACATCTATCTCATACCATAACAATATAATCGCAATCCAAACAATATTCATTAAAAAAATATTGAATTTTACTCGCTCATTTTACTTTTACCAGACTTTGAATTAGAACACTTTGTGTCCGCAACATACTTTCACTGACATTTTAAACACCTGATGAACATTTATGAACTTTCTCAACTTTACAAGCCTTGATAAAACAATGACATCGTCGTCTCTGTGTATATGAACACCTGCAGCATAATAAATACTACATTGCCTTGTCCCGTGGACGAAACGCGTCAGCTAAGTATAGTTTTTTCTTCTTGTCTCTTTTTTATTCATATATATATATATATATATATATATATATATATATATATATATATATGTGTGTGTGTGTGTGTGTGTGCGCGCGCGCCTTGCTGAGGTGTGTGTATGCGTGTGTGTGCGCGAGTGTGTATGTGTGTGTGCGGAGATAGAAAGAGATAGATGCATATGAAAATGCAATCATCAGATGTTTAAGTATGAAACATACTATCGCCGATGGGTGTTGATTATTGAGCATTTTAACCTATAAATATAGCATAACTTAAAACTATATCATTATCATATATAGATATGTTTTTGTGTGCGTTTGCTTTTTTCTCTCTCTCTGTGTGTGTGTGTGTGTGTGTGTGTGTGTGTGTGTGTGTGTGTGTGTGTGTGTGTGTGTGTGTGTGTGTGTGTGTGTGTGTTTACAAGGGGTACTGAAAAGTTCTAGTCCTGACCGGGAAGCCCTTGCAAAAATGTTATTTGGTCAGCTTTTGAGAAGTCGGCCAGAGCTGTGAAACATTCAACATCCCTTCGTATGACTATATGTACCGAAACATATATTTATATTTGCCTATATCAGTGTGTATTTGTCCGTCTCTGCATGTGGGTTTTTGTTAGAAATAACACATATTTGCTATTTCTTTGTGTGTGTGTGTGTGTCAGTATGCAATGTATGTTTAAGAAAATGTGTTTGCTCAGTTGTGCGTTATAATCACAAATAAAAAAAAATACACTCAAAGAATGCGTGCACATTTTAAAAGAGAGAGAGAGAGAGAGAGAGAGTAGGCAAAGTTTTAACTTAAATCGAATTTATTAAACGTAACAGACCAGAATTTCTTGATGATGGTAAATCACATTCCATGCCACACACGTAGATTTATACCAGCTAAACTAGCATTTTATTTTGATATATAGATAGGCTGGCTTTGTAGGCAGATAAGAAATAAATTATGACATTCTACGTCATTTAACATTTGTATTTTCTTTCGTTAATCTTAACTTATATTTTTTTACGTCACTTAAAATTTCGTAGAATTTACTTAATCTCATACAATTACATCAAAAAATAATAATCAAATAAGAATATAGATTAGTTCTCCCTAAAAAAGTAAAGCAAATAGATGTGCATTTAATGTTATTTTAAGTTAACGAAACATACTATCTATAATTTTAAGCAGGAGCATTATCATACGAGTAATTATTCAGAACAATGATTCACCTGTAGTATCTTCAAATATGAACCAGCATAAAGTCAAATTTAATAACAAACTATTGATAACCAATCAGGAAAAGCTTCTTTCGAACTCAAATCTCTTAATTCAGACTTCAATGGGTTCAGTCGTCAAAATTCGGATAATCTGTTATAGTTTGAAAGGAAACGCATTTTATAGATTTATTGACTAATTGGAATGCTTTATTTTGACTCTCAAAAGAGTTTGATCCTACTAACACTTATGTAAGTAATGATGTCCGCCAGTTTAATCAGAATCGTGTTCGTTCGTCTCACCGATGCCGTTATACACGTGTGCACACACAAACACACAACACATGTATACACTCTCTCGCCGAAGACATTGACTGTCCAACCAGAGATAGTCAACTGTTCAAATTTGCAACCTACTTACACACGGATACATTCACAGTGTTTGACTCTCCTTTCGGTGGGGATCGATAGTAACTTTTACACTCAGAATTATCCATTTTATTTCACACAGTTATCAAAGACGAACATAAAAGATGTTGTATTATTTGTCAAAATAAGTATTTTTACTTTATTTGAAACTACAATTTTGTCTTCTCTTTCTTTTTATTCATACATATTCTTCTTGATTATATGAATTTAATTTCTGCTTTTTACAGTAACCCAACTTTGACGATGCTATATTTTTTTATGGAAAATAATTTATTTTGAGTTATATATAAATAATTTATCAGCACCAGTACTGATTTCGCCATGATTGTGGTTGTTGGACTTGCGTATCCTAGCGACCAAGAGAGCTATATCGGCAGATGTATTCCTCCTGGCGAGTTCAACTAATCCGGGCAGAGAATCGCAAAAAACTATGGGAAGCATGATGGTTGTGTTGATTCGATAGAGGAGTCGTTTTCTATCTTAATTTACGACCAACAGTGAATCATATACGATACTGGAAATGCCAGAATTACTAGGATCATCTCATTCCCAATGCAAATTACTGCTACAATTATAGAGTTAGCAAACATAGTCGGGTTTGCTACATAATGGTTTCTTATGATTTTGTGAGTACAAAATTACCAACTGTCATGGATGATTGTCATGAAGTCAAGCAAGATCGATACGATCAAGATGATGGATTGTTTGGACAAGTGAATTCATTCATTGTTGTAACAAAAAAAGCAGTCCACAAAATTATTTCAGTAATCTGAACCATTCTTGGAATATAATTAAGTTTTACAAGTTGCCTAATTCTTCTTTTATGTACCCCGTTCCTTTAGAATATATGTGATCATGGCTCTATACAACTTCCGCTCTTCTGTTGCTCTAAGTATCTTTTCACTCTTAAGTAACCCTCTTTGTACGTTACGAGTGTTAAATACACAAGGCCTTTTTTCTTCATTATGTCCCAGAAATTTCAAATGTCTCTTTCTGTTTGCAAGTATAAATTTTCTTGCAGTTCCTATATGACTGATAACTTCCTCATGGCTCACATGTTCTGTCCGTGCTATTCTCAGCATTTATCAGTAGAACTATATCTCTGTCGCTTCATCTGAGAAAAGAGTGTCCGGACAAAGATATTACATAGCGGTTCAGTACTTTTTGTTTATAACTATGTTTTTCTATTCCTTAATACTTTGCTTAGTTTTGTAATCCGTATACTCCTTCAGATTGCTATATCCCATTTTCAGTTATCTGCTATTGCGCTACTTACGTAGATAAATATCTGTAATTGATTTTGACATACTCAATATATAATCAATATTTGGGGCTGTTTCTGTACCTGACTACTATGCATTCTGACTTCTTACAGATAATAGTCCTTTGTTCTTGCTTTCCTTTACTAATTTATTTAATAGTTATTTCAGTTTCTGAGTCTGACATCAACTCATTACCATCCAAATATTTTATATTGTTAAGATTATGTCGACTGATAACAAATTCTGTAAGTTTTCTAGTTCTCTTAGCATCGTCTTGGTGTACTGTTATGTAAATGCAATAATAAATCGTATCCTTGTCTTACTGATCTTTCTGTTTTTGTGTATACATTAAATGTTGATATTTTAACAGCATATTTTGAAAATCCAATAAGTCTGAATCTTTATTTCTAAAATATTTATTTTTAATTCTTATTCATGAAAAATGATTTTGAAAACGGGTTGGTCGATTATTTTATTCAATAATGTATTTGTTTATCTTGAGTAAAAAAAATTTATCATTAAAAAACGAATGAAACAGTGTGCATTGAATGAAATATTTTAACATTCTATCCTTTATTTAACACAAGAATTTAATACAAAAACTACATATCCTTGTGCGTTGCATTAATGACTAATATCTCCATCACACCGACTTAATCATTCACCGAAACTCGAATCCGCGACCATTTTCTTACTATATCACGCTTAACAACATATTTTTATGCTGCATAAGAAATAATTTTTTAAAGCTATCGAACTATATTAATTACGATAATTTCTTATGCGAAACGACTATGTAGCGCAGTGAAGTAAAGAAAAAGACCTGATCTGCGTAACGCTGAGTGTCATTAAAACAGTAATATATATATATATATATATATATATATATATATATATATATATATTATAAAATTTGGAAAATTTCTACCGTGATATGTTTCGTCGATGGACTGATGTCATCAGATAAATAATTTTATCGCACAACCTTTTGTTCTTGTTAAATATAATTATTTTTGTTGACGCCGATCTATTTGGTGAAACACGTCAGAGAAGAAATTTTCAAAATGGTCTTATATATTTACACTTTCGTCGAATTTTCAGCCAAATATTATATATATATATATATATATATATATATATATATGTGTGTGTGTGTGTCAGGTGTCCAGAAATTGATGTTGCTTTCTTTCAGCAATACGTCTAGTCTCACCGAAGAGCAGTGTTTATTTATTTTGTAAATAACACAAAATTGTGGCACAAGGCCGAAGGGGGCGTGCGGAAAGGTTGATCTTTCACTAGCTATCCTATTCCTAGTTAACCACAATCGCGACCCATTCATTCATTACAATTACACATTCACCACAAAAACTCATTCATCATCTATCCCTTCAGCACACACCACAATACCTCATATACACAGGAGACCTACCAAACACCCCATGAATTAAAAATTTTAATGTTCATATATATATATATATATATATATATATATATATATATGGATGGATATATATATATATATATATATCCATAAAAATTCAATGAAACACAAAATGATGGGGAAAGGGATATGAAACCCAATAATAAAATCAAAATATCAACCGAAAACAAAACCAAACCAAAATAATGTTAGTAGGACCCGTCTACCCCTCAAAAATCATGAGAGTGGCCGCTGTATTCTGTCAATAGACAAAATCAAGAAGCACACTCACTCACGGAATGGGGAGGGGGGAAATAAATTACGGAATGGGGAAATCAAAAGCTGACACTGCCGAGATGAAAAAGTGTGGACAAAAACAAACTAGGGAGATTGGGAATCTCGACGTATGCCATAACAAAAGAAAAGCCGGGCACAGGCCAGGAACCACACTTATTCACATTAACTAGGAACACAAAATAGAGACTACTTTAACCAGGATGGGGGTCCATATGAAACCGCCCGTTGCATTAAGGGGACTTAAAAAAGAAAATCAAGGCTAGCCCCGTCCACACGAACCAGGCTCGCCACAGCTACCCACCTTTCGCTGAAATCTGTCGAAATCAAACGCTTTCGATCCGATCTGATTTTCACCCCAAGCTGATGCTTAAAGAACAAAATCAGATCCTGATACGAAAAACGATCATTTCGCAAGATTCGATCCTTTCGCGACATCCACACGACCATTCTATCCACGGCTAGCAACGTAAAAAACACCATCCGTTTTACCCCGGAGTACGGGGGCGACTCATTGTCACAAACGTACGCGAGATCAATGGACACGAGTTGCTCGGGAGCGATACGAGCCGTCAACTCGCCGACATAATCCCAAAAATGGCGCACCCGAGGACAATGGTAGAAGGCGTGCGAAGCCGTTTCCTCTAAACCAAGGTCACACCGGTAACAATCTGGCAAATCTGCCTTGCCCATCTTGAAGAGAATGTCATTGAGAGGTAGCACACTCCGAATCAATCGCGAGCTAAGCGAAAACTCAGGGTTAGTGAGATAATCCGCCGCTGGCGCCCAAGACCAGAAAGAGCGCAACTCTGATGCTGACAAGCCTAGCCGGTCACCCAGAGGATCCTTCGCGACCCCTCCACTAACTCATGATGCTCCGACGCCGAAAAAGGTCACTGGACCGAGGAATGACATTCAAGGCCGACCGACACTCGCTGAGGAACTTCGACAATCTTGCCCGACCGCCTCGGCGTTTCCTCCAAGAAATGGGGGGAGTGATGGTAAGGCAAGGGAAAGCATCCCTAACACGTAGGAAGGCCAACCTCGAGGCATGGCGATGACTCTCCAGGTGTGGCCATCCCAGCACCCCATGACACGGACGCTGACAACAGGCTTCTTTGCGGACCCAATGCTTGCGACCGTCCCACAAGAGGTCGGCCAACAAGCGCTCGATCGCCTCCATATGTTTCCCACAAAGAGGAACTACAGCCTAGCAGTAAAGGATAGGGGCAAGACGTAAGTGGCACACCCCTCGGCCCTACCCTTTAAGGACAACCTCCTTCGAAGCCAAGTCCGGACCGACGCTCCGACCTTTGCTTGTACTTCTGACCAATTCTTCTCCAACTGGAGTCCGAGCCCGAACCATACTCCAAGGATGCGGACAGGTCCATCCGTCCAGCTGAAGGGCCCCGGAAGCACGACCCCCTTCCAGGCACCTAACTGCAAGCCGGAAGACTTGTTGCGGTTAATCTTGGCCCCTGTCACCTTCTCGTACCGTTCAAGCGCCTTCTGCACCACCTCAATGTCGCTGCGGCACGACACAAAGATGGATACGTCATCGGCGTATGCAGAATCCCTGGCTCGAACTCTACCAGGGAAAGCGTCAATTCCGTGTAGGGCCGGACTGCACGCCTCATCCCTCAGCTGGCGAAGGAAGGGTTCCAGCGCCAAAGCGTAAAGTAAGGGCGACAGCGGGCACCCCTGTCGTACCGACCGAGTCAGCGCAAAAGCGCTCGACCGCCTTCCGTTCACCTGTACCACAGCACTGGGGGAGCGATACAGGAGGCCAATCCAATTGCAGAAGTCGGGTTCGAATCCGGCGGCCTGCAGGACAGCAGCCAGGTACTCGTGGTTGACCCTGTCAAATGCCTTGGACTGATCCAAATTGATCAGCGCGGCCTGCTTGTCGTCTTTTACGCCCTCTATGATCGTGCGGATCAGATGCAGGTTGCTTTCAATTGTTCTGCTCAGGTACCAACAAGCTCGCGACAACTTACTGCAAACGCTCCTGCAGGATCTTGGCCAAAATCTTTAACTCTGTGTTTAGCTGTTATGGGCCTGTAATCATCTAAATCCCGCCCAACATCCTTGCCCCCGTGATCACCCCCCTGGAAATCCGGTTGGGGATGGACCCCTGCCGGAACCAGTTGTTGAACACCACGTCAAAATCGGGACAAAGATGTGAGACAGCCTCAAGTACATTTCGTAGGGCAGACCATCAAGTCCCGGCGACTTGCCTCTGTCGACCCTCCTCAATGCCAAGTAGACTTCGCCCTCTGTGATCTCACCCTCGCAGCTAGCTGCTTCAGTCGGCGAGAGACGAGGAAAATCAGCCAAATAGCTGCGAAAATCGTCGCCACTGAGACCAGGCTCCTTGATAAAACGGCTCTCGAAATGCCGCCGAAAGGCCTCACACATATCCTTGGTCGACCTCAGAGCACGCCCCTCCGGGGTAATGACCTCACGAATGTATCGATCGGAACCTCGACGGATCTCTTCCTTGCGCAATTCTGCACTCATGTTCACGGCAATATCAGCCACGATCGACCAGCCTCCCGCGCCCACATGAACAAGGTCTACCCTCGCCCCCAGGGAACGTTTAACCAACAATGAAACACCTCTGGCCTGCTGGTCCCCATATGCTGAATAGACGACAAAGTCGCTAGACAGCACACGAGCATCAGTCTCGCAAACAAAGTGTCTCCTGGATCGCAGCCACATCCACTCCGAAGGACCTGAAATCACAGAGCAGGCGGGCCGCCTTACCCCGATCTCTCAGGCCCCTCACATTCAAACTGGCTAGATTAATAGACATGATTTAAGCCTAGTTCCCTTCAACACAGACTGGCCGGAAATCTACGGGTGTCAATACCCCGACGGATTGTCCCAGACTCCCGGTAACTACATCGGACGTAATTCGTCCTTCTGTGACAATAACGCCAACGTCTGTGGGGGAAGTTAATTTTACCACCCTATATAGTGAGGGATGGAGAAGAACTGGGGCCCTCCCTGCACAATACTGCGCCAATTTTTTAAGATCCGCTGCTTCCGTCTGAAGCATCCGGAGTGTCGGAAACGCATCTTTTGCTTCCACCAGATAGTCCCAGACTTTAAGTTTATCCCCGGTATTCCTGATCAATGTAATAACACCGGGGGCGCCAGGAAAGTTCCTTGGATCCTCTGTTGATTTGCCATCAACAGAGGTGCACTTGAAAAGAGGCCTCAAGAGCGCTTTCCTCTGGGAGGAAAGGTCCATCTCGAGACGCTCGCGGTCCACCACACAAATTTTCTCCCCTCTGGGCCAATGCCTCTTCTTTTTGTCTTTGGATTGGTTGAGGGAGGGAGAGGGGGAAGACGGAAACCTAGTAGGGGAAGAGTATTGGCTTCTCGTCTTACCTTGTTGACGATCTTTTCCCGTTATGTCTGGTGATGTCGGCGTGGAAAATACCTTCTCCGCCTTACTCCGGCTTGCTCTCCTTTCCTTCTTTGTATTATTTATAAAGTCCTCTTCCTCCTCTTCGTCCTCACCCCTTCCTCTCTTCAATGACGAAGATCTAGGTGGAGGCACCTCCTCCACCTCCATACCTGGGTCCACTTGTTCCGGTTGGACCGCTTTCTCAGCCAGCTGCTGCTGTTGCTGCTCCAGTTCCTGCTGCGCCGGTTGCCGCTGCTGCTCGTGCTGCTGTTCTCGCTGCTGATCCCGCAACTTTTGTCGCTGCTCCCGCCGCTGCTGCACCTGATGCTGCTGCTTCAACTGCTTTTGTTTAGCAGCCCCTTTACTGGGGCCATCCGACTTCTGCTGATGTTGTTTGACGGCCACCCGTTCCTGCTGTTGTTTTTCTCCCTCCTTATCCTGCTGCTTCTTTGTATCAGCGTTCTGCTCCTGCTGCTGGCTGACTGCAGCCTTCTCCGGGAGCTCCTGCTGCTGCTGCTGCTGCTTCTGGAGAGGTGAGGTTGCCACTTTTGCTCTCCTCCTCACCACTTCCGTCCATTCACTACCGGAAGCTTTCTTCGTTGATTCTTCTCTAGGCACCTCTGATGTTGGTACCGGTGCCTGCTTCGTCGACGGTGCTGGCTTCTTGGTTGGACACGTCTTGGCCAGGTGTCCAGCCGAACCACAAACCCAACAGAAGGGCCGTCGACCCTCAACCACCACAAAAATGCTTCGGTTACCACACAGAATTGTGTTGGGTACATCCTTAAAGCTTTGGCGGTTCAATGTCACCATAACCTCCATATCACCGGTGGCAATCCCCGCCTTACTCCTGATGGACGATACCCCCTCCACAGGGCCGTAGTCTGAAAAGAAGGCCCCCACCTGGTCTTCGGTATGGGCACATCGTGTAAGATAATCCTTGTTTTCCGAGTGCCTATGTACTCCGTTTGCAGCCTCATCGTTTTCGTGGTGAGGGTGCATCCGTTGCCAACAAAATGTCCCAGCAAGCGTTTGATTTGCGTGCCAAGACCTTGGCCCCGATGTTCAAAGCCTTTAGGGCTTCTTCCATCGGCTCCCTATTGACCGGTATGAATTTCCTGGTCTTAATATCGACCGTCAATAGGGAGATTGTCCTTGTTGCCACAGTCTCCATGACCGAAGGCATTGGTACAAGTTCATCTTTCGCAATGAACTCCTTCAACTCTTCGCGACGACTCCTGTAATAGTCTGGCCCTTTTTCCGGCCTTTCCGGCACCCAAGCAGATGGTGCAGTAGATGTACTGGCCAAAGGCTCTTTTTCGTGGGTCACCTCCGCCATAGCGGGAGGGTATTCCCCACAAAAACAAACAATTTCAACAATAAAAAAGAAACGACAATGTCCGACTTACTTTGAATCTGGTAGTTCCACGCCACAAAACAACACTGTAAGTACTAGTAAATGCCTAGAAGAGCAGTGGTACCCCCACGTCCACTCGCCTGGTTTTTAACAGGTAGCGTTGTTCTCTTATGCAAATAAGCCTGCTGCATAAAAATGGCAACAGGCGTACGCACGCGCTACCAAATCTCAGAGAATGGTTCGACACGCGAGGCAGCGAATTCGTTTTGCTCCTGGTAAGTCACTGTCACGTCTATTACAATATATATATATATATATATATATATATATATATATAGAGAGAGAGAGAGAGAGAGAGAGAGAGAGAGAGAGAATATCGAACATTGAGTGCTGATGCTAATAAAATAGTGCTCGATATATAATAACAGATCTATAATTTCAATGCGGATGTATAGATAGATAGATAGATAGATATTTGTTTATGTGGATATATCATGACATTTGTATTATAGTTTTATTTTTGTATTAGAGGTAAGTGTGTGGATATATGTTTTTTTATGTGTGCATATATTATTATTTTTTATATTATTTATTTATTATTATTTTTAAGGCCCAACCCCGTAAATAAAATGGACTAATCTACTATCATTCCCGTACAGTGCTACTGGTGAGGAAAATGTATATTTATTATTAATATATATATATATATGGAGAGAGAGAGAGAGAGAGAGAGAGAGAGAGAAACCGCGAAAGAAAAGCTACACCTAAGGCTTAAAATTAATTTTTAATAATGAAAAATCTTTCGTGAAGATTTTATTTTAGGTATAATTTCAAGCGAATAGATTAAATCAAATATTTACAATAAGGAAAATTCTTTGCTGTATTTGAAAACCAATTTAAATTGATTCGAACATTTTGGGGGGATAAATCGCTAAAATGTGTTATTTTAACCATTTTATCAATATTTATACGTCTACCAGCACAAAGTAATTCTCTTTAATAAAAAAATCTTTCAAAAATACAGTATACTTTTCTGAAACTTTATTTGAGAATTATTAGCTTATTTAAAGTTTAATTAATCTGATTCGAAATAAATATTACGTACTTTTAAATTAAAATATCTCAGAAAATAATTTTATAACACGGAGGTGGGTGTTTTTATGGGGTTTTGACAACTATCTCGATAGACTTATGTTTGAGAATTTTTTCTACAGAGAACACATCTGTAAAAATTACTTGAATATAACGTGAACGCCTATTTCATATAATTTTTAACTACCCGGTAATCTTTAAAATTTAGAAAAATATTCTATTGTCTATTATTTTATTGAATTTTAGATGCTTTAGCTTTAAATTTACTATGGTTACCGATCTTATTTTCTGATAATGTCGTGCATGGACGTCCGTATTTACAAAAAATACTCAGGACTGCTGAATTGTAGTAAGCGTTTCCATTTATGATTAGTAAATATAGTTTTTACTTAATAATTACATCACCTGGCCGTTACAAATGAATATAGAATTTTAAAAGATTTAAAACTTTATAATTTATTCTAATTAAAATTTTTTAAAAATAAATACAATTTCTGTAAAAATTCATTATTCATCGAAAAAGATTTTTGTCTTAAGAAAATAGTGTTCATATTATATATCATTCATAAAAATAATTAACAGTTTTTCTAATTAAACAACATCTTACATTTATTGCACATTTATTTTGCCATTCAGAGCAGATTTACTATAACTGGGGTCCTTTTTTGAAAAAGAAAACTGATGATTTAAATTCGCCAGTGATTTTATGATTTTAACTAATATAAACATTAAAATGAATTTCTCGAAATTTTATAAAATTAAATAAGGGGTGGGGGTAACAGATGTAAAAAAAAGAAATATATGAATCAAGACTTTCTCTAAACTTAACATATCTAAAATAATTTCCTTCATCTGTGAATAAATTTTGAAAGTTTCATTAAAATCTAACAATTATTTGACTTTTTAAGAATTTCTAAATCAGTGTGTTTTTCACCGGAAAGAGACGCTAAAATTTCCCATATTAATTTATGATCACCCACAAACGCAAGAAAAAAATAACCAAAATTTCAAAGTTTTTTGTTTACGTTTCAGGTATGAAATTGAAGCTATCAGATATAGTTACGTAGAAGTCGCACTGAGAAATTTGCATTCCTTAAATAGGTAATTCAAACCTTGCTCTATCAACATGACCTCAGCGGTCAAATCGGTAAAGTCGCATTTCGGCTAAAGAAGCGATTCCCTTATGATAAAGAACATTCAGGTTAGATTCCTGTCGGTGGCACAATTTTCTTTCGCTGAACTTTTCCGTCTACTTTAGTTGTTATTAATTTCACTGTTTAAGAAAATTAAAACAACAGGGATAGCAATGCAAATTGCGCGCACCCACTAATAATGATGTTTATCATAATAATAAACAATGTCGGATAAAAAAAATTCAGTAAGAGGTTAAGTTAATTTCAGAATTCATTGAAAAATACACCCCTACCCTCCCTAAACTCAACCTCTTTTTCGAACGTAACTCATAATTGATTCAACAATAGTTAATAAAAAAGAACACGCTACCGCCCCTGTCTGAATGATTTGATTTGTCTGTATCCTTGGAAACAGAAATTTATGAATTTATATGTGCGTTTAAAACTCAGTAAATTTAAAAATAAGTTATTCCAAAATTCGCTTGAAGATGAAACGGAACTATTGCTTTTAATTTAATTATATAATTAAATTTGAAGATTTTAGCTTCAATTTTTGAAACATGGTTATTACTGTGTAGCGAAAAAACTATATTTTAAATCAGTTAATTTATAATATTTATGCTCTGTAAATTTACACTGAGCACTGTTTTGTAAAAATAAAAAATATCAATAAAAACACCGGATTATATATCTTACTGTTCTTTCTTTTTTATTATATATATATATATATATATATATATATATATATATATATATATATGCAAATGGAAAAATTCAAATGTTTTTTCTAATATTTACTCAACTTATATTAGTCAAAATTTGTATGGTTATGATGAGTTTGAAGAATGTGTTAGGACAATCCTCCGTGGAAATTTTCTATCTATCTTGAAAATCATTTTGCATTTGAGAAAGAGTATCTCCAAGTAACATAAATAATTGTGCACGTTTTAAATATCACATTTGGGCGGAAGTTAGAAGCACTTCATTTAAAACTTCCGCTGACTTGCTGGATATTATATATGAGCCAAGATAATATCGTCTTAAAAATAAAAATAAATCAAGTAATTAACTGACAAGATGAATAGTTTCGGGTCAAGGATGTACTCTATGTATTTTATGCGCCATTTTCTGAGATTAACTTGATATACGGCACAAGTATGAAGCATCTAGTAAGTGTCGAAGTGTATGTCCAACATCCTGGTCATTATACAACAATGAAATGCTATCTACTGCTTTCTATTAGCTAAGAATGATGCATTTTTTTAAAAATATATGTAGACTAATTATATTTTTTCAGTTGACTTAATCAACATAACTTGCACATTTAAACATTCGTACTCGTTCAGTTATCGCTACGTTTTTTCAAAAGAAACAGTTAAATATTTATATTATTGTTTATTATTGCAGTCGGCTTAACTATAAAATTAGTGGTGTATAACTCTACCAATTTAAGTTTTTCAGTAAATTTTCTTGAAGCTTTCTTAGAGGTGTTGTGTTTGCGCCGTGATCTTTAAAATCATTGTATATTAAACTCACAAAATAATATAAATGCATAACATTTACCAGTTTTGCGCGAAAATAGAAATCTAGAAGAAATGATCCCCTTTTGTCAGTAATATTCTTGTTGATACCTCAACATTAACAGTTCCTTTTTTTCTTGAAAATCAAGGAACACTTTACAAACCGAGTACCAAAACTTTCAAAAACGGATTTTAGCTTGATTGGTTGGTTGTTTTGTTTAACGGTATATCACTTTCTCATGGTTCATTTAAGGCTGAAATTTAGTTTTGTTGAGAGCTTTTTTGTAATAAAAATATATGTTATTCAGCTTTCATAATTCAGTACATGCAAGATGATACTCAAGATGATATGTGGACATAATTACTAGAGACGGTGATATGTGTGCTTTATGTTGTAGTTTTGTTGAAGTTATATTTTGAAACACAGTTTAATTTAAGAAATTGTAGAATACTATATGGATTAATTTTGTAAAAGAGTTCTTTCATGTTGGTTGTTTGGTTGGTTGATATTGTTAAGCGGCATATGAACCTATATGGGTTATTTACTACCGAAATGTAAATATTTTGAACGCAATTATATACCTTCAACTACAGATAAAAGCTATTGTTAATCATTTTACTATAAATATGCATTATTGGTCAATTTTATATATAAATATATTGCTGGTATTTTTACTATAAAATTGTATTTTTATACATTCATAGTGTTTTATTTTTGTTTGGGGGTTCACTATTGACCCATAGATGTGACTCTAACAGGTGTTACCACCCCGGATTTCATTGGAGGGTTTGTGACCCCCCCGGGACCCTCTTTTGATCAAAAGGATCTTGCCGATGTGACCTCCATCTTCTGGCTTTCTCCTTATATATTTTGGATAGGAATCATTCCCTTGTTAAAATTTAAATTTTATTTAAATCAAAGGGAAAAAATTTTCAGTGGAGGGTTTGTGGCCCACTAGACCCCCTTTGACCAAGATGATCTTGCTTATTTGGACTCCAAATATATAGTTTTAAGGTATGCTATATTTATGGATTAAAGTGCTCAATATCAGGGATAGAACGGAAATAAAAAAAAGGTGTTCATTGAAGTCAATACCCAGAGGCGACAGTCTGTTTCATGCTAAACGACGCAACCGTCAGGGTTATATATATATATATATATATATATATATATATATATATATATATATATATATATATATATATATATATATATAGAATACATTTCAAAAAGTTT